AATTTATTGCTTTTTCCGGACAACGCTCCTATGTGAAAGTTTAACACCCGAATCTATTGCTTTTTTCCGGACAACGCTCCTATGTGAAAGTTTAACACCCGAATCTATTGCTTTTTTCCGGACAACGCTCCTACGTGAAGGCTTGACATACGTGTCTACAGGTTTTTCTATAATACTGAATTTGGATTATATTATTTTTGAAACAGCTTCGGCAAATTCTCGAGTTCGATAACTTTTGATGGAACGAACCAAACAGATACACGTCTCAGTTAAATTGCAACCAATCGTCAGTGATTAATGAATTTGACGTAAAGTTATGTAAGTTCGTGAGCGCTTAGCTTCTAGTACATCTTCCGGTTCTGCGCAAGCGCACAATGACACGCGAGAACAAAAGCAAAATAATTACCACTCATCGTTTTCTAATAAATTTGTTTAATTTTTTTCGTACAAAGACGTTATAACTCGTTAGTTTTTTTTTCTTTTAGCCGGCTGTTACCTTGAACTTAAAGACACTTGCTTCAAGAGTTTATCTCCACCGGAAACGGCTATAATCACCGTGAGAAAGTCAGAAGTCGGGAACAAATTAATATTAAGCGCGCATCTCACCGATAAAAGGTTGAGCATAAGATATATATGTTTAAAACATTAGTACACGAGTTTGGTTTAACTACCTTTATCAGTTTATACGGGATTATTCCCACGGCGTGAGCTTTGAAAGCCTTTAGCTCTCTGAGCATGCGCAACTAGCACTTAGGGACAGATGTATAACACCACTTCTTGCTTAAAAGTATGTTGTCTGTTCTACAAGTTTGTTTTGGGTAACTGTGAATCTGAAAGTTCGTGTTCGCGTCTCGTTGTTGTAAAAATGTGCTCCAAATTTTGAGGCCGTGGGTACGTTATAAAAGTGATGGTCAACTTCATCTATTCGGTCAGACAAGAGCAGCCCAAGGTTTAGCGAAAGGCTTCCGTTACAGAAACTTAATAATTTGGTTCTAGGGTTAAAGACAATAGCCTCATATTTATCGATTTATTTAATACACGCTTTGCTAAGACACTCACCAAAGTTTCGTTGACCGTTGAACCACCGGGGGGGACAACGTTAGCGTTATAAGTTGACCGTTGAGCCATCGGAGGGACAACGTTAGCGTTACTAATTGACCGTTGAACCACCGGGAGGGGGGGGGCGACGGGGGACAGCGTTAGCGTTATAAATTGACCGGTGAACCAGCGGGGGGACAACGCTAGCGTTATAAATTGACCGTTGAACCACCGGGGGACAACGCTAGCGTTATAAATTGACCGTTGAACCACCGGGGGGACAGCGTTAGCGTTAGGCCACAGAAGATCATTCACAAAACCTAGAATTATTTTCTGCATGATAAAAGTGAATGTAATTTACACTTAGTAAACAGAATTACTTGACAATATATATATATATATAAGCACGTGAACTTTAAATGGAGTATATTGGGAAGGTCCCGGATGTCGTCTTAAGACTCACCCCATCCTGTCATTTTAAAATGCAGAAAGCCAGAACGACAACAGAATAGAGGTTAACGAAAAACAAACCGTCACCAGGATCGTCCAGGGCACAACGTGTAGGAACACCCGGGGCAAGATGAGTAGGGCTCAGTTAAGCTAGAAATGTCCCGGCGTAAAAAGATGGGCAAGACTGAACTCACGCTTCAGTAACGTAGGTCGTTAATCGAAAAAAAAACAGGTGAAGAGATGGAAAATGTAGTGAAATAATACAAGAGAAAAACCTCGTTTCTACATATTTTGCACAGTTTCTCTGAGAACTCTGAAAACCTCGTTTCTGCACGTTGTGTGTCGTTTCTCTAAGAGCTCTAAAAACCTCGTTTCTATACGTTGTGGCCCGGCAT